TTATTAGTTTGTTTAATATCACTGTTGATTTCGTGCATCACTATTGTTATTAATCTGTTGAATTGGGTGATATTTCATTTCTGTTTTTTTGTGTGTTCTTCGATTTCTTGAGTTTACTACTTCCGTTGTGTTTTTGGCTATATCAAGGGCATTGAGAGATTTTCAATATTCTAACCCTACATGTCTTTGAGGATGTTCTTTCTTCGTTCATATTATCTTCTGTTGTGATTTAGTCAACACGAGCTTTCTCTAGAAGAAGCTAAATGGAAAACTATTGCTTCATATCATATCAAGGAGCGTTGTATTTTTCAGTTATTGGAGTTAAGATATGGCAGCCAAGTGCATAATTCCGGCCCTGATGGGATCGCTTGCAGTGGCATATATGTGTGACATTACCATCTCAGACGTGAAGATTTTCGGAGGCAAGTTCTGGTTCCTTTAAATTCCATTCTGGGAATTTGATGTTTTTGGTGTGTAAAACTTGCTTGTTCTTCATCATTCAGGTACTACTCCCAAAACTGTTTCGAACAATGAATGGTTGAAAGAGACGGACAAAAAGTTCCAGGCTTGGCCACGTACAGCTGGTCCACTGGTGGTCATGAACCCCATCTCCCGCCAAAATTTTATTGTCAAGTCTCGCTATGATTCGTGAAGTTTTTGGCTTCTGAACTGTGATTTTCTGCTGGTTTTGGCTTCTGAAATGTGCTTTCAGTTTAGTTTTGCTAATAATTTGCATGGATAAATGTAAAAAGCCACTCTTAAGATTGAGCCCTTTTCATTTTTGTTTGCCTTTTGTTATGCAAAATAGATCACAATAAATGTTAATTCATGGAGAATGGTGATTATTTTGACGAGCGATGATTTAATGTCTTTCTTCGCAGTAGCTCGGATTAATCCCATAGTGATGATAGATATTTCAAATGTAAATTTTAGGATGCAGGATTCGTTCTACTTTCTGCTCTACCTTGTAGGATGTTTATATTGCTCTTCCACAATCCCATTTTCATAATTTAGGTTACTCTTATTTTGCTTACCGTTATTACATGAATCATCTTTGCTTTCTTTTTAGAATTAAGCTAAATGTACATCATTGTTGACAACAAGGATGACATCATCCTCTATATAGACGAAATTGGTGCAGTAATGTGATTGATGAGTTGAAAATCAAGAGCGTATATCTTACAACGTGGAAAAGTGTAAAGTAAGGTGTAAAAGAGAATGTACATGTATCATGATCGTTCTTTTTAATATGGTTCGTTCCAAAGAGTCGATAAAAGAAGTACTTACTAAATGACTATAATTTCTTGATTTTTAATGATAAACATACATTTTGAACTTTATTCTAGACATCAAGCAAATCTTCCTTCAGTTCACTGGTGTCATAAACTCATTAACTTAAAAAGCACAAAATGCTTCTCAAGCAAATCCATTTCTGAAGTTTTGATGACTAGATTTCTCTACCAACGCATTCAACTCCTGTTTTAGGACAACTTGCATTGTTGCTCTGAAGCTTTTTTTTTTTTCCCTCTGCTTTGGAACCTTTCTTCTGTGAAAACAGGATATGACTCAGGAATGTCCATTTTACTAGCCTTGTAGAGCACGTTAATGAGACTCTTTATTTATAAAAAACATCTTATTTCTAATAAATAGTGTCTTAGAGATGCCAACAAGTTAAAATAGAGAGTGTCTTGGAGATGTCAACTGTCTCGTGAAAAATAATATTCTCTTCAAAGATTTCACAAGTTACCTCACAAGTTATCGCTTGGAGATGCCAACAGATGATGGTTAGTTGATGTAGCAGAAGCTTATAGGAAAGAACATAATCTCACGTGCAAACTCAAAACTTATTGATTTGCTCACGACTGCCGAAGACAATATTGAAAAAAACTTCTCAAGAATTTCATTATAATAAAAAACAAAGCTAACTACCATTAGAATGACTAAAATATGGATAACTAAACTCTAGAATCTAGATAATGACTAACACCGATAAAAATTAAAATTGCTAGTATTTAAAATTAATCCGCTATAAACAGAATTAAATTCCGGATTTATTAAATAAAATAAAATTATCCGAAAAATTTAAAACGCGTATTTGGAACCCTAAAAAATGAAATTTGCCGAAAAAGGTC